TATATATATATATATATATATATATATATAGCAGCAACAGCAACAACAGCTTAGAAGGAAATTTAACGACACCTAGAGGCAGCCCCTGTCAGTACGACCCCAGACCAACATGGAACGCAAGCAATCGTGAGGTTGCAATCCCCCATTCAAAATGCACCATCTATACATTCTTGTCCCCTCTCTTATACCCTCAGCCTTGTGTAGATGCATGCAAAACAAACAGCAGAATTCTCATATTTGCCTGCTACTGCATCGATATGGAGCTATACTCTTACGTCATTGAAGGGAGTCGCGTCACCTTCCCCCCCGATGATGGCTGCAGTTTTCCCCAGCAGACATTCGACAAGGTGACCAATTGTCATGCGAGACGGAACTGCATGCGGATTCATCAGCAAGTCAGGTACCACTCCGTCCTGCGCCGCAACCCATGCACATAAGCAACACAACAGAAATAACAATCACTTCAAGTAGTCTTCCTCACACGACACTCCGCAACAGTGCACGAAGTTGAACGGAACAGTTATTATGTAAAATAATTACCTCTGTAAAAGGCATGTCTTCTTGTCTGTAGGTAATACCGATCGTTCCCTTTTGTCCATGACGACTTGCAAACTTATCACCTGTTTGGGGAATGCGAACACTGCGCACTTTCACTTTGACGAATCGTGAGCCCTTGGAGTTCACACTCAACATAACAGTGTCCACAACCCCTGAAGGAAACAAACAATGGTCAAACAGCACGATACTGCTAATACATGCAGGCATGCATGCACGCAGCAATTCGTGGGAAGCCCAAATCCGCAATGAGTACACAACAGTAGAGCACAAAACTTATTGTCGATGGGAGATTACCATCGGACAACACTGGAGCGACGAGTCCTTCAATGAAAAGGATATTGGCTCCCTTAAACACGCCGCATGCAAAAAGGGCGCCATACTAATAAAACTTTGTTCACACGAAACTAAATTCGAATTGCTGTGTGTATGTATGCATTTACGCGTTAGTACATCTATTCATGTATAGCATACTAATACTATAAATTATTACCCTATGTATGACAGTATGTACGACAGTATGTGTACACTAAACTACGCCACCTACATGTAGAGAAAGTGGGTATACGTTAATTCACATTACATGTTTGCGCCGGTATTAGCTAGATTTGTCATTTGAGTGAAAATGCATTATATGCATTTTCATTCAAATGACAAATCTAGCTAATACCGACGCAAGCATGTAATACAGGCTCCGTACACTCCGTATACAGGAAATGCAGCAGATGTGATCACACAGAAGGCAAACAGTGCTAGCCCTTTCTAGCAGCATTCACAAACGCAACGCACCGCTTTCTGATGATCTTAAGCACAGCGAGCAGTCCTTCTTCGTCTTCGACAAATACGCTTCAGCCCCTGGAGGCGCCAGCGGGTCGTTGTCGTCGAAATTCGGTGAAGTCTGCAGAGATGAAAGGAGTAGCAAACAAACTAGAACGGTAGATGTAGCAAACGTACACCGTGTATTGCTGACTATAGACACCACACAATACAGAACATTCTGCCCATCAGCGTATAAGAAGCAGAGTTCGCGAGACAAATTTTTGGACAAAACATACGCATGCGATTCCTGAAAGTACAAATATGTACAATAGATTATATGCATCGCTATAAAATAGAATATTTGTAAGCATCCACAATACATATAGGCCTATATACAATATACACTTCTAAATACACACATATATGCTGATACATGCCATCTATGAGGCTCAACCAAAGGGCGCCAGGTTTACTTTGCCGACAATGACATCATCTCCCAGGACTCGGGAACCAGGTTCGACAAGGCCGTCGGTATCAAGCTTGGAGTAATCTCCTCTTTTCATTCCTGATGTTGTTTCCGCATTCGGTTGTTCGAAGCCTTCTACGATTAATGAGCCCTGTTGTTTTTCTTCTGCGCAGTATGTACGGCAGAAGAGGCTTCTGAAGAGGCCCCTATCGATGCTGTTGCGATTCATAATTAAAGAGTCCTCTTGGTTGTATCCGGAGTAGCAGAGAATCGCGACAATCGTATTGATTCCCGCAGGCAATTCTCTGAACTTGAGGTGCTCCATCGCTCGCGTACACACCAGCGGCTTCTGCGGGTAGTACAGCAGATGCGCTAGAGTGTCTAAACGCAAATTGAAGTTCGTTGTATACACCCCCATCGCTTGCTTCCCCATAGCGCTCTGGTAAACGTTACGCGGCGACTGGTTGTGGTCAGGAAACGGAATGATGGACGCGCAAACGCCCAAAATCAAGGACGGATGAATCTCGCAGTGCGTGTAAGGAATTGTTCTAAAGCAAAAACACGAAACAAAAATTAAATAGAGGAAAATCAAGATGACATGTGCGCAGATGAGCCATTTGGGTGCAGAGAAGCCAACAGGGAGAAACATTATCTACAGCCTTGTTTTGAAAACTATAACTGCTACAACGCAGACAAAGAACGAATCAAAGCATTAAAAGACGAATCGCGCCTCTTTTGAGGCTGCAATACATGCAACTATTTCCATCAAACTGCAACTAATTTTGAAGCCATTCTAAGCAGAAAATGCAACAAAACGCACAGAAAGACATCGCAGAAAACCATAACTCTGTCACACAAAGAAGAAAACGCAAGACCGTGTGTCAGGTGGTGACATCTGCTCGAGGGCAAATCCAATCAAAAGAAGATGCAGGGCAGTCACAACTGACATCATCCCTCCACCTTGCCCATTCTTATTCTGCAGATAAGAAGAAGATGCAAGACACTGTGTCATGAAACACTACTATCTATACACTGGTGACACGATTTAAAAGGATGAGGGAATCCTGTCTTACTTTCCCTTCTCTATAAGGTCCTTGTGAAACATCGCCACCATCGATGTTTCCTCCTCCTCACAATCAATGTATTCAATCACACCCTCCGCCATTAAGTGACCCCAACCCGCTCCCTTCTCAGCTGTGCCCATCATGGCCCGCACTCTCTCCACGTCGCGCTTGCGGATGCGCAGCATACCTGTTTCCTGAATAAAGAGAACAAATAATTCGACAAAATACTAGTAACAATACCACCCAATCAATCGTTAGGGGAAATAAAGAAACAGACCGGCCGTAGCACAAAATCTCTAATAGGAGATAATAATTAACAACATCCCCAGCATAGAAACAAACCATCCTAAACAATAATGCAGAGGATAATGCAGGTCTTAGGCAGGTGTTCTGTATTCTTATTTATATATACATCCACGTATCACACATTCCACTGGTATATTTGTTTGTTAGCACAAGTACACCACTGAAGATGCAAAAAAAGAAGCGGATGGACTCAAGAACCAACTGCTTCGTATACAGTACATACGTTGAACACTCTGCCCTATTGGACGTACACATCAATATTAACATAATATCCACATAACTAAAAATTGTAAGTAATAAAAATTGTATATTACAAAAGTAGAAGCAAGAAAATGCTTGCTGGGGGCTCACATTGTCGACTACGTAGAGAGGACGCATAGCGCGACCCGCGTCCGTAAATATTTTTACTTCCTGCACACCAAAAAACAGGCAGCAAACGAAAGCCTTCATATTTAAGAAAATGACATACGTATATATGTACATATGCATACAAATAGGGGCTAACCTATAACCGTAAACCCTAAACCCTAGCTAAACCCTAGCTAATGAAACATGTGTGCAAGTCTGTGGCGTCTTACGCGATTGATAATATCTCTGACGATGGATGTATCGTTACGGATGTGCCCCTTTCTTCTGATTTCTTTAAGGGTATTACAGAGGGTCTCTGCCTCATCAAAGCATCCTGCCCAATCTCCATTTATGAATACTTTGCATCTATCTTTGATACTCTCAGGCGAAATCTCATCAAGCCCATCAAGACCCCAGTCCTGAGACCACAAAGGATCGCATGCACCACCGAAGCAGCAGATACAGCAGCGCATGCACCTAAGGCGGCAACTGTTGACGGGCAGTGCCTGTGTTGCTGACAACTCAGCAGCAAAACAGCAAGCATAAGACCCCCAAAACGAAGAAGAAAGAATATATATATATATATATATATATATATATATATAT